TCTCTCTCTCTCTCTCTCTCTCTCTCTCTCACACACACACACACACACACACACACACACACACACACACACACACACACAAACACACACACACACGCACGTGCGCAAAAGTTCACTTGTGAAATTCACTCTTCGGGCTGGAGAAGAGCGGGATACTCGTACAGATTTGACCCAGCATCCAAACGAAAATAACGACCAGCCACCACCCATGGCTGCTACTGCCAGAGCTCGCGGCATCACACATATGGCTGCCACTGCCAGGCCTCGCGGCATCACGCATATGGCTGCTACTGACAGGCCTCTTGCATCACGCATATGGCTGCTACTGCCAGGCCTCGCAGTATCACCCATATGGCTGCTACTGCCAGGCCTCGCGCCATCACGCATATGACTGCTACTGCCAGGCCTCGCGGCATCACACATATGGCTGCTACTGCCAGGCCTGACACCCACAACAGCTTGCTAGTCCTGGGGCCGGCAAATTGAGCATTGGGCAAATGAGGCTCTAAGGTACTGGTGGTTTAATGCCTGACATTTTCTTTCCGTTTCCTGTGCTTTTAGACCTACAGGGAGACTAAGTTCAATGTGCCCCATTGGAAACTTGGAAAAGAGCCTGCCCCTGCCCAGATGCCATGGATGGGACTTCTGTCCCTGCCCGGATGCCCCAGATGGGGCTTCAGTTTCTGCCCGGATGGGACTTCTGTCAGATGCATGATCTGTATCAGGTCCAATGTCTTGTCAGATGCAGGATCTGTATCAGGTCGACTGTCTTGTGACAGTGAGGAGGAGGAATCCACACTAAGTTCCAGGTACACTAGTGGATAATTCTTGAATTCTTACTTTTCTTTACCAATTTCAGAACAAGGGGAACAAGGCATGTCATTGCTGTTTGCTATGGGCTTCGATCTCCAAACCTATCTATCAATAAGACAGAACTGGGCGTGGGACGTGTTGCAAACGGGGATTGTATTCTCTCCAGATGAATCACTGACTAATAAAGAACTTCTAAAAATATTTCTGGTCGCAATATAGGCCAGGTCCACCTATGCCTTGCCACATTTCGAGGATAGTATCTTGACGGTATAGGGCAAGGAATCCTGTTCTCAAATAGCGCAGAACGATTAGTAGGTGCACACTAGCCTTTTTTTTCCTTTTTTTTTTTAAGCATAAGGTAGCAAGAGGAGGATTGAATTTCCTGTGTACGTGGCGAACAACTTCAACGCATCAACAGCCAGCACAGCTTCCTGGGCCCCGACAAATGTAATCGGACAAGTTTTCAGAAGTTTGTGGGAAAGAGGGACAATATAAATTATATAATAGCATACAACTGTCATCATCACGGATAAAAAAAGAGGTGGACTTCAGAATTTCATCACCTACGCACTCACCCATCGTATTGCATTTTGCAAGCCTCCAGTTTACTCATAAGAGCATCCATCTCCTGCTCACTGAGATGCCAGGAAAACAAAAGTTCACCACAAAGATGGTCAGACACAGCAACATTGACTTTTTGTAGAAAGTGACTACAACACTAGATGCACCCCAACGATGGAAGTCACCTTCCTCTGAAGACAAATCTATAGTTCACAGCAACCGAGCCTTCCTGGAATCGGGAAGCTCTCGACTACCACACCAGCCACTGTTGGTAGGACCACTTGCAACTACTGGGAGAATGAGAGAGAGAGAGAGAGAGA